TCCTTCAGGTACATCAGACCTTTGTAGAGTAAATATTCACTGTCTTTTATCCAAAAACACCTGTTTCAACTCATTCCTCTTTATTTTCATTGCATACTTTTCTTTTGTGCTCTGCATTAGTGAATTGATTACCTACTGTGCAGATGCTAATATCCACATTTCTTAATGAGTTTTATGTTTACTATTATGGTTTATTTACCTCTGGATTATTTTATTTTTCTTTCATGATTCTTTTTTCAAACTAAGGTTTATTTGATTCTGTCTCATTTTATCTATAATTAAAAAATGGGTGGTTGATTTAAAGATAGTATAATAGCATATGCATTTTAAAATTTAAAACGAAAAATAAAATAAATAGGATAACTTAAGTAGGTATAGAAAATGTCCATTTAGAGTAAGATCTTGGATAAAAAATTTAAGTTACTGTCTATAAACAAAAGTGAATTGAAGGGAATAATATTTGGGATCTATAAAAATTTAGCATTTTCCTAATTCCCCCATCACTATAACTTGATGGGACATATAAAATATAATGAGAACATTAAAAATTATCAATTTAATTCTAAACAAATATTTTTAACACTTGGTGTTTAGGAAATATACAACATAACCTGCTTTCATTTGGGAACTTTTATGTGATTGAGATTCCTTGTAGAATGCAAAACAGGTGCTGATCATGAAATCAGAGGCTTCTCAGAACCTAATATGTACGGATCACTGCTGATGAGAGTTAGCCATCCCTAATTGTTTCATGACAGGAGATATAATTGATGTTTATGCTTCTAACATAATTCATCAAACCCAAAAGAATTAAGATCCTGATAAAGCCATCTGGCAACTTTTTGTACTTATTGGAAAAGAGCAGATTTTGTCCTTTAATTTTAAACATAATAATTTTAATGTTTATATTAGGGAAAAAGTTAAAGAACAGAAGGTACTGTTCACACTTCAGATTTAGAAGGTAACCTAAACTAAAAGTAGAAATATGTCAAAAAACCTACTCTACAGAGACCACAACTGGCTGACGTGATAAGAAAGCAGACACTCGGATAAAAGGCATTTGGGAATAAGCCAACGTACGTTGTGCATGTTGTGAACAAATACATTTGATGTATATGTTTCAGGTTGCAACACCCTAAAAAAGATGCAGAAAGAAAATATAAACACTAATCACAATTTGTGCATGGTCCCTTCTGTATAAAGACTCATTAAATCATCTGAATCAACTAAGGAATCACTTGTGAAAAATGTTTAAAGGAAGAGATAAAGATTATCTGTATTGAATATTTGATAGTATTCAAGGTGAATAATATCATTTTGCATCACCCTTGATTATGATCTGTTAGGTTAGTAATTATTTTTTTGGATAGAGGCTTCAGTGATATATAACAAAACTATCAAACATAATAAAGATTTTTTTACTTTAAATAATAGAGATAAAGATAATAATAAATCATGCAAAAATACTATATATGTGACCAAGAACAACAAGAAAAATGTTCCACTCTTTAACAATGAGTCAAGTGAAGCAATGATTATTTTTTGACTATTAATGTAATGATAACTTAGAATTACTTACCTTTGTGAATGTTAAGGAAATTAACACAAATATATGGACAAAGACCATTTACCCTCTTATGGACAGTCCATTTTCAGACCTGAATACCTCAGGGGGAGAAGATCTTGGTAATTTCCTTTCATGTTTTTAATTTTACAATTTAGAGTTATATTTAAGTATAACTCTATGCCTACGTAAAAATCTCATAGAAGTTGAAATACTTTGCTGGTAATCCAAATGTTAAAAAACAAAACAAAACAAAAAATCCTTGACCTTTTCTGAAGACATTAAGCAAGGAAGAAGGAAAGAGTGAAATCAAATTTTCTTTAACCTTCAATTATTTTTGTTTCTGACTAGAAAGATTCTGCTCTGAAGAAGAAACTTCCATGGCTAAGTATTTATAATTGCCATCCTGATTTCTAAAGTACCAGACAGAAGGGTATAAAAGTCACCGAGGCTTATCTAATCACCAGGTAAAGGGGCAAGCTCCAGCCTTTCCACTGAGAATGTAGAAACATTAAATCTTTATTGTCTAAGTGTAGGGGCTGGAAAAAGGTAAAAGCAGGTAATTATGATGCTCTGTAAAAAATAATACATATCATTCCCAATTATTTAGCATAATGAAGAAAAAAATAGCTGTGAAAATTAATATTTTCTTTTTTTCTCTTAATACAATCAACCTAAAGACACAAGGCTAGCAGAATGGTAATGTTTTGGTATCTTGTTCAATACACAATCCTGGCATCATAGAGTTGTCATGATAATGAAATTACCAGAAAGTTTAGAATGCATTTGTAAGAAAAGCTGCCAGTTACTACTTTGCTAAAGTCAAATCAGCTTTTTTGGTTTATATATAGATCAGTGCATTTGAAACTATACCAGTGTCACCAGCTGTCATTTTAAGGGAAAAAGTTGGATTTTCTCCCTAATTTAATTGATGGTAGGTATATGAATATTCCATTTGAACACTTTTGAAAAATCCCAACAAAATTTAGAAAGCCACAAATAATGGTAGAGATGGTATGAAGATAGGACTGAAATGTTAGACAGCCAACATTTGCAATATACTCATGAAATAAGTAAGTTTGCATTTTCCTTATTTAAACGTTGGTTTTAGTTTTGTGTGTGACAAAATCATACTCAGCAAGTTTCATAAAGAATTCAACAGAAATCAATCTCCACTTATTTAGTTTACAACTCTTACACATGAATATTTTATTCAAAAAATGAAATCCAATTTAAAATGTTTCACAAATATTCAAATGGACTTTAGCACTGATTTCTGCAAACGTGTTTGAATTCTGTTAAAGAAGAATCTGTTAGTGGGAAATAACTGACGATTATGTTGACCACTAGATCACAGATACTATATTTGCTGGATGCAATTAAATCACTTGAAAGAAAGAGTTTATTCCATTTGATCCAGTCAAAGTATTAACTATACAACATCGAAGCTATCTTAGCTATGAATGATTTTACATTAAAGTGACAGCATACCTACAGTTCTCTTTTCTTTCGGGGCAAACCTGCTAAGATTAAATTCTAAGATGTTATTTTAAAGTAACTATCTTCATAAAGAGGAACCTACATAACAGTTAAGTGTAAGAAACAGAAAAAGCTATTCAACGCAGACAGAACATTGTAGACTCATTTTGAATTTCCAGACCAGTGTTACAAAGAATGAAACCTACTTTGTATTTCATCACCGATGCCTAAAAGCTAAATACCACTTTTTGAATCTCTATGATTTGTCAAACATTACATGATAAAGTTAATATTATGGTAATCTATTAGAACTTTTATTGATGGATTACCCACCATGAATCTAATTTATATTTTTACACACAGGAGTCAAAAGTCTCTTCAAACAGAATAGAAGGAAATCTGTTCCAGATTTTATTTTTGATTTATAAGTTAGTTTAGCAGCCAATGACTTTTGGTCATGACACTTAAAAAAATGTTAAAAGGCAAGTAAAGAAATAACCAAGTTTTTAAAATTTCAAAGGAATCACTTATATATCTTTGAGTCAAATGGATGATTCTGTAGAGACATAGGGGGACTTCTCCTTCCCCTCTGGGTTCTTTTTAGCTATTTCAGCAAACAAAATAACATCAGACAGATTAGTACGAGGAAAAGACCAAATCTAATTACATACCTATGGAGAATTTCCATGACCAAAATTCTAGAGTAGGACAAACTGTGTGTTTATGTCCTAAGATAAAGAATGTGCTAAGGATCTGGGGTATCAAGGAGAGAGGAGGGTTCTCAAGTGATGAGGGGATGACTTCCTGTAACGAAATCTTGCCTTTAGATGTTTGCCCTGAATTAAGATGGGCCATTCTGATTAAAGGATGATTTCCAGACATGACCCTCAACCTAAGTAATCTTCATCTTTAAGGTTATGTGATCAGTTCCTCCTGAAGCCTGTAGAATTACCATGGCCTTACTCCACATGGCAAGGTGACACATATTAGAAGTGGCCTGCTAGGACACCATGGGGAAAAACTATTTGAACGACTTTTTAAAACTCTGCCCTACTATTCCAAGGAAATTTTTTTTTTTTCCCAAAGAACATACACAAAGGTAAGAGGGTTGGGCCCAGGTCTTGACAAGAATTTTTTTATTTGAATTGATCTCACTATAATGTTGAAATAGAATTCACTTAGTATACTTTTACGATTTTCTAAAGCTCAAATGGTTCTTTAAAAATGATAATAGCTGAGTTTGAGGAAATTATAAATAAAACAAGGAAGGGAGGGAAGGCAAAAGGGAGGAAAGGGGCTTGTCATTACAGTTTATCAGGACATAATGTAAAACTAGTGCATTCCATTCAATCTGGCATTACTCTATA